TGTATGGATTGTGATAAGAGTTGTATGAGTCCCTAATAAAACGATAAAAAAAAAATGCCCCCAATCATACCACCATAGAAGATCTTTCTTCTGACAGTGAGTAACACATGGCCGTTTCGAGCAGCGGCTGTCATTAGGTCCAGGACTTGCTTGTGCGATTTCCCTTTAACCGGAATTCCATCAATGCACATCAGTTCATCAGCAGCACGGAGCCGGCCGTCCTTCTCGGCGGCACCCAGAGGAATGATGGCTCCAATATATATCTAATAAGATAAAACAGCGAGGGTGGATCTCAGGAGTTTACCATCTGAGAGTTAAGGCCTTCCTGACTCTGAGGGCCATACTCACCAGCAGATTACTCCAGTTCAGTAATGAAAATTGTCATCTCTTAAAGAGAAAGGAAAAGCGAATATGCTCCCAAATGGCCTTTCAAATGACCACACTACTGTGCCATCCTTCAGGATTCTCAAGGTGAGTACAAAGGGGCAGAAAATACAGAGTGGCTCAGGAATTTAAAAAGTCCCATCCTTACTCCATCTGCCACCCAACAAAAACAGTGAAGTGGAAAGTGCAGTTTTGTAGAGTAGCTAGAAGTGAGACACTCGGTCTGTTCAGTGCCACTGGGAAAGGCTCCCTACACACACAGCAGCAGATGCAGAGCAGAAGCGAGTGTTCCTAGGGTCCTCCCCTCACTCGGGACCACAGTGCAAGCTCAGTACATGCGGCAAAGAAACAATTCTTGTTCCTCCATTGTGAAGCAGTAAATATTTTTAGGGCACAGAGCGGCCTTGAGCTCGTGTAACTAAGTGAACAGATCCAGTAGTTCTGCTCACCGGCAATGAGAAAGGTACAATTAGGAACTTCAGACTGTTTGGGCTAAGTTCAGAGCTGCTGCAGTCTGACATTTAAGAAAAGAGAACGGTTCTTCCTAAGTTGTTTGAGAGAAATTCTTAAAATGACTACGGGAACACAATGGATCACAGTACATTACGAAACTGTATGAACTGATAAACCACCCAAACCAATCCAAGTGGCTTCCAGATACCCTATACAGGGCAATGCGTCTTAAGCTTTATTTGTCTAGGATGGTTGTTGTAATTCTAGCGAATAGGACTATTTTGTGCACATCTCCACTAAACAAATTAAACGTGCTATCCAGAAATAGACAGGACTATCATTAAAAAAGGAATATTGTATTCACTAAATTTCCAAGCTGATAGTAATAGATTCTTCTTTTTATGTTATATAGCTTGGCATGGCCAGTTTTGACCTACAGTTTCTAACCTCAGCAAACTAAGTTAACTGAGGGATTATGATACAAATAGAAATGCAGTCTGGGTCACGTCAATGAAACCAAAGAAAATAACTGCCATATCCCGCACCAAAGTCTCAGCAGGAAGAGGCCAGCCCCAAGTGTTTAAACTTACGGATTGGTCAGGTCCATCCCCGCCTAGGACTCTGAAGCCAAACCCCGATTCCTGTTTCCGAAGAAAAACATCCAAATCTTTGGTGTGTGGTGCTAAGTAAAATGAAGAAGGAAAAGAAATATTTGATTTACTTGAAGCAGATTAAAGCAAAACAAAGTTCAATATTTAATAAGGAACAAAGTTTAATACTTAAAGGCAATATTAGAACTCAGTTCAATAAACTATAATCTCAGACTTCTTTGATAGGTGAAAGTGTACACTAAGGAAACACTATTGAAAAAGGAAAAAAAGAAAAAGCAACCATTGGTCTCTGTTTTGAGCTCTACACAGCATCCACCCAGGATTGCTGAGGAGTACCTGCCTCTACTTCTATGCTCTCAAGACTGGGCTACCATTAACTCCTAATGCATTCAAGTCATACCACCGTATCAGCTTCCCAATCATTCGGGGCACATTCGAAATTTCATAGGCACACATCATCTAAGTTGACACTTGGGCAAGAGAGGCCATAAAACGGTCCCCCCCCTATCCCACTTCTGAACGAATACCTTGGTCTCAGAAAAGCATACCCCACGAAATGCTCACTTGGCTTAATTTAACAAGATGATAATATTTTTTAAGGGGAAACAACTAATAGCTAGCAGCTATTATTAGTATCACTATCTATTATTAGTACTATTATTAATAGGTCTTACGTAAGTAATGGTACATAGCCAGTAATTGGACAAGCTGAGATTTAAATTCAAGGAGATTTCCGGGGTCCAGGCTCTCTATCACACTCACCTGCCCACAATCAGAAAATTTACCTTTTGACAAAAATTTGATTTCTGGAAAAATATTAAGGCTACTTATAAATAAGAAACATTTTGCTAGAAAAGTAAGGAACAAACTATATAAAAAAGTAAGAAAGCTACTATATAAATTCCTGATGTTCTTTAGAAATAATTTCTTTTGATAAATGCAAATTCGAGTCTTAGAACCTTAGTGACGAAAGGACTCATCAGTTCAAGCTATTTCTTTTATAGCAAAGGGGCTCGCAGAGTCCCCGCGAAGAAAGTGCCAGCCTGTGCGTGGGAAGGATGCAGGAAGGGATTCTCCACAGGTCATACTAACTGAAATCACTCTGGTATGGTTTTCATCTTTCTAAATGTAGCCACGGAACATCAAGGTAACCACTTGCAACTGGTTAAGTAAGTAGTAAGTCAAATCTTTCATTGCCTTTTTTTGAAAAACATATTTCATTGATACATATATTTTCCAAGGCAGAGTTAGAACCATTCCTTAAAAACAAACAAACGAAAAGAAACAAACCACAAACACCTCTTTAAATCTGAAATTCTACTTTGGAAAAGATTTATCATTTGTAGATAAATTACGATTACTATGAAGGGTGTTAATTTGTCTTCTACATTCTCCTCTCATCTCAACTGGATTCCTCTAACGCATATGCTCTTTGGTTTCCTTGCTCCCAATTGAACCCTCGTGATTCTTTGTCCTTCATACTCTTGCCAGGAGAATCTTTCTCAACAAGTCCAGTTTCCCTGTAGGTGAAAGCCTTCAGGAGCTCACCATCACTTAACTTTCGCTCCCTCAGACTGCCATATTCTGCACGTCACAGGCTCGCCTCTCTGGTTTCCTTGCCAATCATACCAACCCAAACGAACTACTCACAGAACCTAGGCCAGTCAAGGCCAACATGCAGAGGCTATTGTTTCTCTCTTTTCTTCCTGTCTTCCTCAGAAGTGCTTCCTCATCTTTGAAGGCTTCCTTAAATCTTTACTTCCTGTGTAAATCTCAGTACCTGTACTTCCTCCTACCCATAGCTCCTATTTGGATCCCAACGTACCCAGTTGCCTCCTTATATCATTGAACCTACTAGGCTAATTTGCATTTATTTGAGTACTTAACTGATCATATCTCTGTATTTTCTAACAGGTTTTATAAATGTTTTTGGGGACAGGGCCTATACAAACTATTTGTAAATATTCCAGTTACCTAGTATGGTGTCTGGTAGATAGCTGGCCCTTAATACCTGTTTCTGAAAAAAGTAAATGAATGAATGTGAATGTATACGGATGAAGCACAGAGTGAGACAGTGATGGGGATGCAGGGGTCCTTTTTCAACATAGTTTTGAGAGATTGGAAAGGCCCAGTTTAAGAAGCCATCCAAATTTGTTTTGTTACCTGCTCTTTTGAAACATTCCACAGCTACTTACGTTTATCTTCATACAGAGTCTTAGATTTTAGGTAGACTTCAGAAGGATCCAGCTTCGGGGATCCTGCCCTGATAATGCTGGGTGGGAAAGGTAGAGGCTGTGGGACAGGCTCATTGATGGCCTCCAGGCTTCCTGAATGTTCCTTTTTATCAGTTTTCTGAAATGCAAAAGGGTTTTACTTAGTATGTTAAGAAATCAATGCTTGTCTGAATGAGGGATGTCAATTGATTATAGCTGTCGAGGTGGCTGGCCCGAGCCTTGGCCTTTTACAGTAGTACAGGCATGCCCTCCCTTAGCTGTGAGCATTTGGCTAAAACATGTTTAACTTAAATTAGATAAAAAGTTTACAATGATGTGAGCTGAAGGGGCCTTCACTAGTCCTATAAGCTTATGCAATCTTGCCCTTTTCTCTACCGCCAAGATGCAAACTGACTTTGAGAGAAGAAACAGGGACACAGAGCAAGGGAACACTTCTAAATAAAGCATAAGGGAGACTAAGAGGACTGACTGAACACCAACCCCCACTGCAACTGCTCCATTCTCAGTAAGAGCCTACAAGTCAGAGTAACTTCCAAAAATTCTTAATAAGTTCCACCTCTCAATTTAAGTTCTAGTGACGATGTTTAATGTGTTTTTTCCACCTAAGAAAATGGAATAGGTTGTGTTACCCCTAACTTTAATCCTCTTTGGCCAATTCAAATACATGAAGGGAAAGTGTACCATGCCAGGCACCTAGAGAACGGGCAACAGAGCAGCAGAGTCTGCTCACTTTCTTTTTCAGACATAACTTTCTCCAAAGACTAGCCAAATAAAATGACTCCTTTAATAAAAATGAAAAATGAAATCCAATCATTAAGAAAATATGGTAACTTGGCCTCTCCTTTTTCCCTATCAAAATATATTTTTGAGGACAGTTTGTTACCATATTCTGAATCAGGAGGAGATTGGACACATGTGAAATAAAATAATTAAAGCTGGCCAGCTGCTCCAGGGGAGAAAGAGGCTGTCTGCTCCTGGAAAGATCTCTACTCTCGGAAACCCTAAGGAGCAGCTGGCTCTGCAGTCCTGTGGGGTTGCTGTGAGTTGGACCCGACTCGACGGCAGTGAGTTGATTGTGGTTTACAGTGCTGAGGCACTGCTCAGGAGCAGGGTAGGAGGTTCCTTTACTGTCCCAGATTTGGTCAGATGGCAGAAAAGGTGAGAACAGTCTCCTCGTCCTTCTCTAGACCATCCTAGAATCCTGCCAGTAATGGTCAGAGGTACACAGAGTCTTGCATCAGTTATAGGGCATTCATTGCTCATCATGGCTACAAAATAGGCACAAAGCAGAGGAGTTAAATGATTTCCAGAGATGCTCAGAAAAGGCGATGCAATTGTAACTCAATGAAGAAGAGAGACTTTCTGATCACCGTGGCTCTGGCATGGGACAACCAATTCTGTCAAAGGCCAGAAGCCAAGTGTCCAGCTCTTTCATCCATCAAACAAGCAATTTTGTATTCTCACTTGGAAGGCTAGAAAGACTTATTTAGCCCATTTAAATCTGATGGTCTTTTCCTTAACAGTCTATGGGAGACCAGTTTTGAACTGTGCGATAAAAGATTACAAGTAGAACTAAATTAGAACTTCATATGTAATTGTCCACATCAGCATAACTGGAAAGTTAAATAATCACACACGGGTACGTGGAGCTTTCTTCCCATAGTAGCACCATTTGGGTACCCTCGTTAGCACTTATTCTCTGTGTGGTGGTTGTGTGTGTTGCTGAGTCAATTACACCTCATAGGGACTCTACAATGGCAGTTATTATATAAGCAAATTGCTAGGGTTTCTCTCATGGACCCTTGGTTAGTACAAACTGCTGATTGACCAGTTAGCAGCCTAGTGACTGATCATTGCTCCACTAGGGCTCCTTCCAGGCTATTCAGCTTTTAGAACAATGGCAAAGATGCCATTTCAGGTTTGCTGGCCTACTACTAATAGCTGCAATTACTCTGAAAAGTCTTGCTGAAGCTAAATGTAAGCAGGTTATCTAAATATTTAGCTTCCGTGACATGCTATGACACTCTCTGGTCTTTTCTCTGGACAGCACCAAGCAGGTGTAAGTTCATCAGCTGCCCTCACATTTGAAGGGATTTCTGAAGGGCCCTTCCTTTAACTACTTGTACTGTTGCAACTCAGAAACACACAGAAAGCAATAAGACCCTTAAGTAGGCTCTCCATTTTACTCTTTAGGGCAATGTTTCCTAAGTATGGGCGATACCATCCCTTGGGGGGAGCTGGAACGATCCAGTGGCTGCAAAAGTAGATATTTACACTTTATCCTAGATTTTGGCCTATAGTACAAAAGCTTTTATTTATTTATGTTTGTAGTTTGTGGGATATAAATAGACTTTTCCCCAGCTTTGTATCCCCCAAATATATGCCAAACCTAAGGGGTTGCTTGCTAGCACAAGGTGGGAGGTAAGACGATTGGAGCTATTCTCCCTGAAGGCATTCAGCCATCCAGAACAATTAGACACTATTGTTTATCCCACCATAGGTAGGTCTCACTCCCTGCTGTTAAGGGCAGTGGATTGCTTTCCCTAGAAAGCTTAGAATAAATCAAGTCTCCAACTCAAGGACAATCAAGGTTATGCTCCATCTTGAATCTTGGGATCCACCCATCTTGTCACATGTGTACCCCTAATCCCTCCTCCTCCTATTGCGTGTACACCCCTAGATCATCCCCCTCCCATTGCTGTATGGCCTATGGTACAGCCCCTTCCCGTGACATAAGTAGGTCGTTACCTGTAACCAGGGGGCTTTCACACCCCCCCAAATATATATAAGCCTTGGTTAGAAATAAATCCACCCCCCCATTCTTTCTCTCTTCCCTTTCCTTCTCCTGTACCTCCATGTGGATCATCAAGAGAGGCTGAGATGAGCATGCTACTATGAAACATGTTTGACTCCTTTATTTAACTCTCTCTCTCCTATCTCTTATTCTCTATAACTTTACTATAACCTTTATATATTATAGCTGTACAATTGTGCCTACTGGACCCGTGATTATTTGTTAGGGGCTGGCTCCCCTGACAGTAGCTTTAAAAAATTATTAAAAGATCATTTTATTGGGGGCTCTTGCAACTCTTATCACAACGCATACATCAATTATATCAAGCATATTTGTACATATGTTGCCATCATTTTTTTCTAGACATTTACTTTCTATTGAGCCCTTGGTATCAGCTCCTCTTTTCCCACTCCCTGCCCCTCTACCCCTCTCGACCCACTGATAAATTATAAATTACTGGCATCCTGGTTGACTCATCCCTTCCTTGTGACCCTTTTGTGAGGGGATATCCCAATGTCTACAGATGGGTTTTGGATCTCTGCTCTGAGTCCCCTCATTCTCAACAATATTTTGTTGTTGTTTTTTGTTTGGGGTCTTTTGATGCCTGTTACCAGATCCCATTAACACCTCATGATTGCACAGGCTGGTGTGCTTCTTCCATGTGGGCTTGTTGTTTCTGTGCTAGATGGCCGCTTGTTTATCTTTAAGCCTTTAAGACCCCCAGCGCTACATCTTTTGATAGCAGGATACCGTCAGCTTTCTTCACCACATTTGTTTATGCATCCACTTTGTCTTCAGCATTCATGCAGGGAGGGTGAGCATCACAGAATGCCAGGTTGTTAGAACAAAGTGTTCTTGGATTGAGGCAGGGCTTGAGCAGAGACCTAGAGTCCATCCACTACCTCAGTGTATTGCTATATAAATATATGTACATAGGCCAATACCTCTATTTTTATGAATTAATGTATTTACATTTGTATACACCTATGTTTATACCTCAAGTACAAAAGCTTTCAATTACAAATGAGATACTGAGTAAATTTTTTTTTTTGTTTTCTGAAAAGGGGGCAGTAGGGCTTATACCAGTAAGTTTAGGAACCTATGATTCAGGGAATGGGATTACTGTTAGTAGGGGCCTCTAGTATTTCTTTAATAAAAATGACAAACTGGAAGAACACAGCTTCTAACTAGGAGATTTTTCTAGCCCACATACTCTTCTAGAGCTTCTGATCCAAGCTCAGGGCAACTGATTTCTCTCAGTCCTTAACTACTACCCCATGGCTGCATGTGGCTGCTCTAACACATGAGAGTAGAGCTTTTCTTGCGGCATGGCATGGCCAGGAGAAGTGTGTGAGGACAAATGCATACTGAGGTAGTTTATTGCGCCAACCTGGCCAATAAACACATGTGGAGTTAATTGAAGGGCAGAAGGATAAATGGCTTGGTGAACCTAGCCTTTCTAGTTCTCTGGTCTCTTGCTTTGTGATGGTCACACCAGGGTGCAGCTGCCTTAGCAATTCCCTGCTTCAGCTTGCAAGGCTCACTTCCTGCAAGACATCCCCAAGGAGAAGCCACATGGATTTACCCCGGTGCAGCCCTGGGTGCTGGAGCACCCTGTATGGAGACCCCTGCCAGTGCTGAGATGCTTACACATTCACTGACTCGGCTTTCCTCCTGCAGTTGGCATCATTGCAACTGTTTTGTGAGATGGAGGAGGACTTTGGCTTGGTGTCGGACATATGGGTTAATGGGTTAATGTTGGGTTTATACAGCACTGGGTTGGGATGTTTTTTTGATGCACACTTAACCTTTATATAAAACTCTCTCTTATACATAAGTTGCTGTGGATTTGTTTCTCTAAAGTACCCAGACGAACACACATACTCACCATTTTGGTAGCTTTAGTTGGTGAAGGAGGACCTTTGGAAAAAAAACGAGTAAAGTTTTAGAAACAGAGGAAACAATCGTAGATCACAAACATGCTCATGTTAATAATAAAACTAGCTTTACCTTTTAGTAGACTGGTAAATTTGGTATCTAACACCCCGAGCACTATGCATTATACATAAGTGACCCCATTTAATTCTTATGACAATCTTAAGGCATACCTGTTCATATTTTATCTTGGCCCAAAGGTCAAGAAGTGGTATGTCCTCACCAGTTTATCGATAAAGTCAACCAACGCTCAAATAAAGTCAACTACTGTCTGAACCAGAGAACAAGTAAGCAGCAAGGCAGGAAATGGCCATCAAACTAGCTTGGCATCAAACCCAGTCTACTGTTATTTGCTGGAGCCCTAGATGACTACAGAATGCACAAAAGGAATTCCAACTTACTCTGCTCACATTTTACCATGTCACCCAGAGAAGAAATAAATGGGGTCAAAATTATGAGAAGGAAAAACTCCCCAATGAAGTTAAGTGCTCACTTGCTTCAGAAAGGAAATATAAAAGCCAGAGATATAAAAGTATGAAGGGTTAAATTTTATTCTTTAAAACAGTAGTCATGCATAGGCATGGATTTAGGGAAAGTCTATTAAAATGAAATTTGATAATTAGTCCTTGGAACTGGATTTTCAATATCTGGGAACAGTTCAAGTCAGCTGATGACCCGGGAAAATAAGAATTAGATTTATCTCACATGAGCACTGTGGGGTTTAATTAACATTTATTAGTAGGACTAGAAGCTTAAGAGAAAAGCTTTATAAGCATAAGCTATTAAGATTGCTTCTGCAGAACAGATTAGAGCACACCATCCCATAGCTCTCTTATCCATAGAGAACCTCACACTTTGAAAACACCTTTGGTGAGGTCCAGATGAATACCACAGCAAGTTTAAAGAGTAAGTTTCTACTATTGCCATCAACAGAGAAAGTAAAATTAACAGGAAATATTTCATTTTAAGGATGACAGTACTATGACTCCTGATCATTAAAGCCATAGATCGGATTTTTAAGAGACTATAGAGGGAACTAAATCCACAGTGGATATGCATGAAACCACTAATACTAGGGGGAAAAGAAAAAGAAACACAAAAGCAGACACTGCCTACGGAAACAATCAGATAGAACCCTAAGAAAAAAAGCACACTAATTACCAGTTAAGTATGTTGGGAAAAGAGACATTCCAACCTGTAAGGCAGGATAATTGAGATATAAATGCCTGGACACTGAGGGTTCTTCCTTGTTGTGCTCTTACTCACCTCCTCTTAAGATGAGCAGAGGTACATCCGCACCTATCGGGAACTGCTTTAGCACTTCCACCACTTGGAGATGCGTTAAATTCTGCACATTTTGATGGTAGATCTCTTTAATGATATCCCCTTTCTGAAGGCCTTGACACCATTGGCTGTCCAATATCATTTTCACCTTCTGTCCGGTTGGGCTGTCAGCAATTGCAAAACCAAAGCCTTTGGGGCCCTTAATCAGAGGGATAGTCACTAGTTCAGGCTGGGAGCTGCCTGAGGAGGCCATGGATGCTCTCTGCTCACTCAGATCTGACGGTCCATTGAGACGATCACTGTTCAGGGTGTGTCCCAATTTTCCATTCTGGTCCAGAACCATTGCTCCTGGCTTAAAATCCTGAGTATTCATGCAAGCCTCTCCCTTAGTTAATGACTGTCCATTGATGATAGGGGTAGCAGCAACAATATCCACAACGGGATCTTCATTGTCATCAGGGAGTGGATAACCACGACATAAAGTGAGGTTGACATACTGATTGACAGGTACCAACTGAAACATCTGGACAACATCTGCATGAGTGTGACCAAGGACACAGCTGCCATTGATGTCTACAATAACATCACCTGGTAAAAACAGAATCATGTTACAAAAGACTTTGGATCCCCAAATAAGAAAAAACTGGGATTAAAAAATAATGGAATTTTCCCATGATTTTTTGAAGCCTCTTCTAATATTTAATACAATCTTGTTTGAGAAATGCAGAGCTCAGGATTCAAAAATATCTATTTATAAATATTTCATAGAGATTTTGAGTTTATTATAAACCATATTTCAAAAGGAGCAACACACTACAAAAAAAATGCCAACACAAGCATAGGGAAATAATTTAAGACACCGAAAAGTTAAACCAATTATTATCAAAGTTGGTTTTGTTCTCCTGAGTTTACTGTGACCACTTGATTGAAGAATTGCTATCACACAATGTTCAATATCTGGGTAGTTTTTAATGAGCCTTGACTTAAAAAATATGTCTTCAGGTGTTTCATTCATTTCCAGGGTTTATTTGAGTCTCATTATTTAAGAAATTATTTTCAAATAAAATGGCATTATTTTTTCTGATTTTACTTAGCTTTAAAAAAATCAACACACACAGTGTAAGAGACAGATATTAGGCTATGGGAATTTATTTCATGGTCTGAAGAGATACAGAAGTTAGACTAATTCAATATAAAATTTTAACCTTGTTTGGAAAAAGCCTGCAGAATGCTTATGGGTAGTTGGTATTGGTATGAAAATTAGGTTATAATAGTTTTAGATAAATTGGAATCAATACTATAAAATCCTAGTAGGATATATAATAGCTAAGAGATATGTTTAGCAGGTAAAATGTTAGAACAGTTTAACAAAGACTATAATACTACATATCATTATGTCATTGGAATAGTAAAAATCTCTAGAAGGAAGCGACGAATAAAATCCCCCCCTTCCCCCCATTAGTCTTGAACCTCTTCTAGCCTTTCTGGCCACAAACACTGTCAGCCATATTAAAATATCTAACTGTTAACAAGTAAACACTTGGGCAAAACTATATGCAAAGACAACTTAACTTTAAACAGTTCTGTTAAGAAGAGTAGCATGTGTTTCTTCAATAGCCAGACAGGCTAAAAACCAAAACTACAAAACATGAAATTCTCTCTTGTGGAGCTGATCACAACTTAACAGTGACCCTACAGGGCAGAGCAGAGCTGTCCCCGAGGGTTCCCAAGGCTGCTTTATCGACACGGAAGCAGGCTGCCACAGCCTTCTCCGCGGATCTTGTGGGTGGGAACCACCATCCTTTTGGTTGGCAGTGGAATGTTCTAACCACTATGGAACCAGGGTGCTTCTTAATTCATAACATAAACATTGTATTTTACTAACAGCCAACAAGTCTAAGACTAAGGAAGCAAACAAAACTTGGTGAACTGATGCACATAGCAATTTGTTGGAATCATTATATAAGTCTGAATGGATCACTTTTCAAATACTGGTTATATCACCCCAAACTCACTCACTGCCATCGAGTCGATGCCAACGCAGAGACTCGATAGGACAGGGTAAACTAACCCTGTAGGGTTCAGAGGTTGTAATTTCTTAGGGGAGTAGAAAGACCCATCTTCCTCCCTTGGAGAAGCTGGTTATCTTGAACTGCTGACCTTGCAGTTAGCAGCCTAACATGTAACCACTATGCCACCAGAGCTCCGGTTCTCTCTAGTACTACATAATCAAAGAAAATTGAGCAACCAAAGTTTTCTGAGATATTAATAAATCCTTAGCTTAGTATAGCTATGGAGTTATTTCAAAGTCTCATCTATGGAGGGCCACTAAGAGTCTGAATCGACTCGATGACAGTGGTATTATAGGATAAATTACTTTAATCCAGGAGTCATCGTCTTCAGTTTATATGTTAGTATGATATACAAGGGGGCTTCACAAAGTTCATGGAAAAACTGAATGAAAAGACAATGGAATCAAATATCTAGAAATGGTGACTATGATATACAAGAAGAGGAATTTAGTAATTGATTAACAATTGTCATCTGCGTGCCAACTCATGCCAAGCACAATCCTGAACATTAATCTCATGGACACTATAACTCTACAATTGGTAGACAGTCAAATTAACACCCAGTCCCAGAATTAATTTTTTTTGGAAGTCAAAGTATAACTTGGGTCATTGTAAGGGGTAGTATAATGGCAGGTCTCTTCTGTTACAATGTTCCAGGTGTTTTCCTGTAGGCTGGATCTACTAGCAGAGATGGGAAGTTCTGTAGGAGCATGGCCCCTTTCTCCGTTCACAGGGCAATGATAATTTTTATAGTAAAAAAAATAATGGATTTTACCTACAAATATTTTGGAACCCTTTACTATAACTTAATATGAAAACCCTCATCTTTAGAATTTTTATTATAGTACCACTATTCTTTAAATAATTCTGAAAAATGCCATTCTCAGAAAAAAAATAGTTACCTGGTGCAATTTTCCCATCCTGAGCTGCAGGGCCATCTTTCAGCACATTTTTTACTTGAAGGAACTCATCAGGTCTATCTCCACCAATAATGGTAAAACCAAATCCCATTGTGCTTTTTTTCAGTGATGCACGAACAAGGACACCTTTAAGCTGGGATGGATCTCGAGTAAAGTGTGATTTCTCCATATCTGTGTCCAAATGAAAAAATGGAAATAATACTTAATTACAATGAACACAGTGCTCAAAATCAATCTTCGAGACAGTCCATACAAAATATTTAATGTTCTTGAGCAGTTAAGAATTTAAACTCCTAAAGGAAATCAGTGAGTAAAAATAAAAGAAGAAAACTGGAAAGGAAATCAGAGAGTATTTAATACTATTAGATTAACAGTTAGAATTTAAGCTCCTAAATGAATTCATTTGCGGGGCGGGGCGGCGGCTGGGAAACCTTAGGTAATGAATCATTTTTTTCTGCAGGTGACACAACCTTGCCTGCTAAAAACAAAAAGGATTTGAAACACTTAATGATGAAGAGCAAAGAGTTCAATCTTCGATATGGATTACATCTTTATATATAGAATACAAAAATCCTCACAACTAGACCAGTAAGAAACAGAATAAACAGAGAAAAAATTGAAGTTGTTAAGGATTCCACTTTACTTGGATGCACAATCAACACTCATGGCAGCAGCAGTCAAGAATTCATCAAATGATGCACTGGCCAAATCTGCAAACGATTTCTTTAAAGAGCTAGAAAGGAGAGATACCCCTGTGAAGACTAAGGTGCACCTGACTCAGGCCCTGAGATGGTCAATCACTCCTGCGCGTGGGAAAGCTGGACCAAGGAAGAATGAATATATGGTGGGCTATGAGAAGAGGGAAAAAACTTACCTTGGAAGAAGTAGAGCCAGAATGCTCTTTACGAGAAATGATAGTGAGACCTTATCTCATGTACTTTAGATATGTTATTATGGAAGTTGACCGTCCTATCTTTCTCCCACTGAGCTACTGATGGGGTCTAACAGTAAACCTTCTGAAGCGTAACTTGGTAGAGAGTCCCTGGAGAAGGACAGCATGCTGGGTAAAACAGAGGGGCACCAAAAAAGAGGAAAGCCCTTGTGTCAAGATGGATTGACATAGTGGCCGCAACAGTAAGTTCACACGTGAGAACAATTGTGAGGATGGTGCAGAACAAGGCAGTGTTCTGTTTTGTTGTACACAGGGTTACTGGGAGTCAGTAACCACTAGACAGCACCTAACAGCAACAACAAGATGTGACAAGTCCCTTTGAAAACTCTAGATACCAAGACTTGGTTGAGCATCCCTGGTTGGCAATACTCCGTATGTCTTCTCGCAAATCACTGTGGGAGAAGTTAGGACCGTCTCTAGCTTCACTGGGAGAGGACAATTGGAACCTATGCTCTTGGAACTCACCTGGATTCTGCTCCATGAACATCTTCCTTTGGATAATTTCAATCTGTATCCTTTCCTGGTAATAAGCTGCCACTCTAAGGATAAGAACTCTCAATGAGTCCTGTGGGTCATTCTAGAGAGCCTGAAAGTGGTACTAGAGACATGAAGTTGCAGTGTGTGTCAGAAGTGAAGTAGTGGTGGGGAGCTCCTTACACTGCAGTCAAATTTTAATCACATGGCAACTATTTTTAACATTTTGAAGAACTGCCAGGATCTTCTGCACATTGATTTTTCCAATTTATTTTTACACTAAGAATATGTGAGCCTTCTAAGTTTTCCATATCACCAACACTCTTATATTGTCTGTCTTTTTATTATATGGGCATGGAGCAGCATCTCATTGTGGTTTCAATTTGCATTTCCTAATGACTTACACTGACAAGGCCAGATTGTCACAAACTCAGACACACTCAGTATGTGTCCTTTCTGGAGTTATTTGTTTATATCTGCAATCCTTTTTAGCAAAGGGTTCTAAGAAGTACGTATTCTAGCTTATTGTCAATTAGGCAAAAAGTCATCCTTAGCGCTGCCACATTTGGTTGTGCAGACTGTGCAAGAGGTGCAAGTAGCTCTCAAAATACAGGGCACCCTTGAAAATGCTGACAACGGCAGGTTTGGCTGGTGAGTAAGTCTACCTTAATGGATATGTTCTCTCTAGATATATATGATCTCTTATAGTAAAAACGTTAGAAATGTTTTTTTTTAAAAAGACAACTATTTTTGGCTTCTAAAATAGAGGACCATTTTATCCAACAGGCGAAAATGCTGCTCAGTCCTACACCATCCTCATAATCGCTGCTGTTTGAGCCCACTGTGTCACCATGTCAGTCCATGTCATTGAGGGTCTTTTTTCCACTGACCTGCTACTTTATCAAACATGATGTCCTTTTTCAGCATTTGGTTCTTCTTGATAACATGGTCAAATATGTGAGAAAAAGTCTTGCTATTCTTGCCTCTCAGGAACATTCTGACTGTATTTCTTCCAACACAGATTTGATCAATTTTCTGACAGTTTTGGTACATTTAATATTCTTCACCAGATCATATTTCAAAGGTATCAATTTCTTATTCACTGTGCAGCTTTCACATACATAGGCAGGGCTTGAAAATATCAATGGCTCTGGATAGATGCTACTCCTCAAAATGATACCTTTACTTTTTTAACCCTTAAAGGAAGTCTTTTGCAGTGGATTTGCCTAATGCAATATGTCATTTAATTTTTTGACTGCTATTTCTGTAAATGTTGATTGTGGATGCAAGTAAAAATCAAATTCTTGTCAACTTCAATCTTCTATTTATAATGATCCGGTTGTAAGGATTTTAGTTTTCTTTATTGTTGAGGTATAAATCATACTAAAGGTTTTGGCCTTCAAGTTCCCTTCACTTTCAGCAAGCAAAATTGTGTTATCTGCATTCTTCAGGTTCTTAATGAGTCTTCCTCCAATCACCGTGTCACACTCTTAATAGAATCCAGTCTCTCAGATTATTTGCTCAGCATACAGAATGAACAAATCAATCTTGATACACACTTCTCCTGATTTGAAACCACACAGTATTCTTTTGTTCTGTTAGGTGGACTTCCTCTTGCCTATGTGAGCATAATTAAGTGCTCAGGAATTTCCATTCTTCACAATGTTACCCATTATCTGTTATGATCTAAACAGTCAAATGCCTTTGCACAGTCAAGAAAACACAGGTGTTTCTGGTATTCTCTGTTTTCAGCCAAGATCTATGACATCAGCAATGCTATCCTTCATTCCATGACTTCTGCAGTTTGAATTTCAGAAAGTTCTCTTGATGTAGTGCGCTAACCTTTAGAAACTATCCAGAAACATTTTGCTTACATGTGGTGTTGTTGGATTAATTTTCACATTCTGTTGCAGAATGAGATTAGGACACATATTGAGCCCTGGTGGTGTAGTGGTTACATTCTGGGTTGTTAAATGCAAAGCCAGCAGTTTGAAACCACCAGCTGCTCTGAGAGAAAAAGACAGGCGCTTTCTACTCCCATAAAGAGTTACAGTCTAGGAAACTCACAAGGGCCATTCTACCCAGTTCTATAGGGTCACTATGAGTTGGCACCATACTTTGCTTTGTTAGGGATATCTTCCACTTGGTTAGCATAGATAAATAAGCACATCCACCACTGAATCTGTTTGCTGAAACATCAAAATTGGTATTTGAGATAGTTTATTGTGCCAGCCTGGCCGATAAACACAAGTGGGATTAAATGAAGGGCAGAGAGATAAATGCCTTGGTGAGTCTCGCTTTTCTTGTCTCTCGCTCTTTGATCATTGGACCAGTGTGCGGCTGCCTTGCTTGTCCTGTGCCTCAATTTAAAGGCTACACTACCTGTGGGACGCCTAGCATGTGGACTGTGTCGCTGTAAGTTGAGGTCCCTTTAAGACATCGCTGGAGCTGGGACTGGCAGTTGGTGACCTGGCTGGCAGTTGGTGACCTGCCTTCTGATTGGCTGCTGTGCTGACATAGCCTACCTCTCTCTATAAATAGAGGAAGATCTGACAGCAGACTGGATTTGAAGGACTGCTAGTCTCTCACAAGTCTCTCACGGCAGTGAGTTGAATTGAGCCATTTGTAGTGCTTTATAATTTAACTGTTTCTTTCTTGTATTATATATTTATTTGCATATGATTTAACAGTTTATTTCTTGTTATATATCTAATTATCTTTATAAATAAATATATTAAATTATCAGGAATTTGGTTTTATCTCTCTAGAGAACCCTGTCTAATACAGTATTCTGTCAGTTTGTGAAGTTATATTTTTCACCACCTTCAGTACATCTTGGACTTCTTCCTTCAATACCATTGGTTCTTGACCATATGCTACTTGCCTACTGAAAATGGTTGAATGTTTAACAATTCTTTATGGTACATACATTCTGTGTATTTTTTTCACCTTCCTTTGATATTCCCTGCACTCTTCAGTATTTTATCTATAGAATCCTTCAATATTACAATTCAAAGCTTGAATTTTTTCCCCTTTAGTTCTTTCAGCTTGAGAAACGTGGATCATGTTTTTCCCGACTGGTTTTCTAACTCTAGATTTTTGTATATTTTAAAATTAATAATTTCTCTGTTTTCTCAAGCCACCCTTTGAAATTTGTATAGCTCTTAAGTGCTACTACATAAACACAGTATTCTCTATCCATTTTTTTTCCCCTTTGCATTTTTTTTTTTTAGTTTACTTTTTTCTAATCATTTTCTACTGGAACACACTATTTCATGTTTCTATAATTTCATGCACTCTGTTCTTTCTACCTGGAATACCTCCTCGCTCCTCTATTTTTCTCTTCTTTTCTGTGCACTTTAGCTTCTCCTGTTTCTTCAAGACAAAGTGCAAATCTATCCTTTACTTTCAACTTTCCTTTTCCCTTGACTTTCTCCACAAAGCCAGAGTTGAGTACTCCCTCCTTTGTGTGACCACAAATACGACAGGGTACCCAAAAAATCTGGAATTTTTCCCCAAAGTTATGTATTTAAATTTTTTTTAACAAAACAACCATATCACTTTCAAAGTACTCTCCATTACACTTAATACATTTGTAAAATCTGCGATACCATTCTTGGAATCATTTTTCAAACTCATCTGTTTGGATGGCTGACAGAACCTTCCTCGTTTTTTTTCTTCACCTCTTCTATGTCCTCAAATCATTGTCCTTTCATGGCTCTCTTCATTCGTGGAAACAAAAAGAAGTCTCATGGAGCGAGATCAGGTGAGTAATGTGCATGGGTCAAGAGAGGCATGCTGTTTTTGCCAACAAAACAAAACAAAAACCCCACCATCTTTTTTGGAACAAGAAAACGACTTTTAACTTGATTTTTTCCCCATGGTGCTGTCCTTGTAAACTGTGTTCAACATCACAACAATTTATATGGCATTTTTCCTGAGCAGGAAACAAAATTTCACAGCTGCATGCTGTTCTCTTAAATAGGCCATCACAAAAACTGAGGTTCTAGTGAATCTGCTTTTATGAAAAAAATCCACTGTGACCAGAGAGAACATTCCCATGCGATGCCACTGGGAGCACTAACTTTTTTTTTTTT